CTCTCTCTCTCTCTCTCTCTCTCTCTGACAAGGTCTCACTTGTGTAGACCAAGCTGGCCAGAAACTCCTAAAGTTCAGCCTGCCTCTGCCTTCTGATTGCTGGCATTAAAAGTACAAACCACCATGCCCAGATACTTTTTTACTTAAAGCTTCTAAGAATATCTTGTCTAAAGTTCAGTTTAGTTAATTCCTTATGACCCTCCTTTTTTTTTGTGGATGTAGGGTCTCTCTGTAACTCAGGTTGGCCAGGAACTCATAGAAATCCCTCTGCCTCAGCCTCTGTTATCTGGTAGACATTGTGATATAGCCTGAGCTTGAAGAGATGAATAGGGCATATCCAGAGAAGGTTAGTTCTAGAAGCATCAACCTCAAAATTGTAAAAGTAATGTCAGATGCTATACTGGGCAGTGGTGGTGCACACATTTAATCCCAGCAGTTGGGAGGCAGAGGCAGGAGGATCTCTGTGAGTTTGAGGCCAGCCTGGGCTACAGAGTCAGTTCTAGAGAGTCAAGGCTGCACAGGGAAACCCTGTCTTGAAAAACAAACACAAGTAATGTTGGACTATGTGACATGAGGGTTCCTATGGGCACACTTGGAACATTCACCCAAGTTAATGCACCCAGTGACCTTCTTTCCTCATGCTTTCTCTGAGTAAGTTGTAAAGTCAGAGGGATCATTTTTAATGTTTTTTTATGCATATATGACATCTAAAAATATGAAAGCCTATCAAAACCTAGCATTGTTCTAAGTGATTTGCTCTTCAGATAACCCTTGGGAGACACTGATTACCACACTGATACAGCAGAGGTCAAAGATATTAAGAAGCCAGTGGAGGAACAAACAGCTTGTAAGTGGCTGAACCAGAGTTCAAGTTCAGGCTACCTGTCTACAACTAACTGGTCTTCTCTGCTGGGTCTCCACTGATTGCTGCCAGAAATCAGGAGTTAATTGTAACTCCTAATCTGTTTTAGAGGTGGGGGAATGAGCAGCACTCAACATTGTTTAATTCTTTTAGTGAAAAGACTTTGGGAAGTTTTTAGTGCCTGACATCAATATACCAGCCTCACTTCCCTTGTAAATATTTCTTGGACACTCAGGGGCATATTTCACACTGATTAACGTTTGTGTCTCAATTCGGAAATTAAACTCTAGATGAAAAGGTGGAACTGTTGGCGGTAGTACAACCTTCTCCTTTTATTTGGAAGACAAGATCACATCCATCATGATTCTAGGAGGAGAAAGACTCCTGCTTATAATGGTACCAGAGGTGTGGTTGGATTTGAAACATTTCGTGAAAACGGTCCAGAATTCTAAACAGAGATTCCAGGAAGGCTTGAAGGCTTCTGGACAGCAAGGTCAGTTCCAGGGAAAACGAAATATATGATTTCTAGCAAGTCCTCCAATTCTAAGAATGTTTTCTTTCTTTAATTGAGTGTGAAAAATCACAGAGAAGTAGAAATGCTGTCAAAGTGGTCTCTGTTTCTTCACCGGTCTTTGGACGCCAATTCTCATCAGAGCCGAGAGGCCTTCAGTGGGCCTTGTCTGGCAGTTTCTGGGCCTGTTTTTAAAATTCTGAGCCAATTGTGGCTGGGAAGTAGACACAGGACCCTGAGCTTAGGTCAATATCTTGGTGTTGTTTATTTTTTTACTATGCAGATTTTTATTATGTGGATTTATTATAGCAATCCTTATATATGGATTGCCTGCATCCCTGACACACAACAGGAAGCACTTACAAAAAATTAGTTTATCACCTCCCTTTGCAGCTACATGATGGGCTCTTAGTTTTTTATGTGTGTGAGTGCTTGCCTGCATGTATGTATGTATGTGCACTGTATGCTTGCCTAATGCCCATGAAGCCAGAAGGGGTCAGATCCCCTGGAACCGGAGTTGTAGGTGTTGATGAGCCACACTGTGGCTGCTGGGCATCAACCCAGTTCTGCCGACAGAGCACCAGCTGCCCTTAGCCACGGACAAATCTCGCCCTCCCGTGTTCTCTGTGACTCAAGAATGTCCCATTTCAGTGGTCAGAGGTAGACTTCTTTCCTTAAACATAATTATCACCCCTCTCCATTTCATTCAGAGAAGTGAGAGGTCTGAAGTCTTGTCTTCCGGTAACAACATCCTGCCTGGATTCTGAGCCTCTGGGGACACAGTAGGAAGAAGAATTGCAAAATGTTACTCAGAGATCCTTGAGACTACTTCCTGATGACACGCCAGCTCTCTAACAATGGTGCTGTGAAGTCTGAAGTCCCCATGGGGAAAGCAGAGTGGGTTTTCTTTCATCCTGGGTCACCCAAGGGCCTAAGCTCCACCCACTCTAGCCTAGGCTGTCTGGATGTGGAGTCTTAAACCGCTCTCCACAAGTCCCCTCTGCCACTCTCTGGGGAAGTGAAAGAGCTCAGGATTTCTTTCCTTTAAGGACTGGCCCTGTGTCTAGTCTGTCTCTGCAAGTCGAGAGTCTCCTTGCATCTGTAGTGGCAATGTTGGGAGTCATCCCCTGTGTATAACAATGGTCGGCTTCATCTCCACTTTGTAGGACAAGCACTGTTCCCGCACCAGACTTTCCTTTATCCCTCCCTGATGAACCTGAAAAATGTCCCCAAGGACACTGCTTTCTCTCTCAGTTAGAATACACCTCCAACTGTGCTTTGGGAAGTGGTAACAGTGTCTCCCTTGTAATTTATGTCTTGAATCTTCCACTAGATCATGAATCCACTACCTTTGTTGAGGGACAAAAAAGAAACCAAACAAACAAAAAACAAAACAAAACAAAAAACAAAACTGAACAGAACGAAGCAACCATGAAAACCTTCTCTTGGGATTCCTGCCATGGACCATTCCCACTTCCGGGCTGCTGTTATTATCAAACCACATTCTCTTCCTTTTGCTTCAGTCATGTGGGGGACGCATTAACCTTCCTCTCACTCACAGTCCTACCAACATCCTCTGTCACATCAGCAGTGAAGCAGATACCACGTACTCTGCATTCTTTAACCTCTGACCTCCTCTGCGTGTCTGGTGCCAACCCTCCTGCATCTGTCTTCACATTAACTTTCTTTGCCCCTGGCTTGACAGAGCCAGACCGTCCATAGCCTCGTACCAGGGACTCACCTTCCAGCTTGCTCTGGTTCTTTTCTTTCTCATCTCAAATATCTCACGTCCCTGGAGTCTTGGCTTCCATGGCTGCTGCTTGAAACAAGCACCGGTGAGGAATTAGCAAGTTTTCATGTTGCCGAGACCAACCTTTGTGGGGATGGTAATGACAAGTGATGGGTGATGTCACACAGTAAGCTGTGAATGTGCTGCTCTGATTGGTGGATAAATAAAAAGCTGATTGGCCAGTAGCCAGGAAGGAAGTATAGGTGGGATAAGCAGACAAGGAGATTTCTGGGAAGAGGAAGGCTGAGTCAGGAGATGCCATCCTGCCATCCAGGGAGCAGCATGTAATGACACATAGGTAAAGCTACAGAACACGTGGAGACATATAGATGAACAGAAATGGGCTGAGTTTAAGTGTAAGAGCTAGTCAGTGGTAGGCTTGAGCTAATGTGGACTGGTCGGGACACAGGAAAACTTCCAACTGTTGCTGGAGGGCTTCTCTCCAGGCTCCACCAAGCCCCGCAGTCCCACAATCATCACGTATAAAATAATCACTCAGACGCTTATATTACTTATAAACTGTATGGCCGTGGCAGGCTTCTTGCTAACTGTTCTACAAGAGGTCCCCTCATAGCAGGCTGTGGCCTTGCTGCTTCAGGAAAGCAGCTCCCTTCCCTCTGTGGTAACCAGTGAGGACCATCAAGATGGGGCCAGGAGGGATGTTCCTGCACAGCGCTCTCACTTCCTGCCTGAAGGGTCTGTCGTTTTTTCCAAGGCCTAGCTTTTGTGGCAACATCAGGATAATATCTATGCGTTTGTAAAACTTAGCCACCTGGGCGCCGTTCTTGTCATTGTCAACTGTTTTTGAGATGGTATCCAAACCCATCTCTGTATTTTCCTTTTTAAACTTGGAGTTTTCCTCTCCCTCCCTCCCTCTCTCTTCTGTCTCTCTCTCTCTCCCCACTCCCCTCCATTCAGGGTCTCTCTATGTATCTCTGGCTGTTCTGGAACTCTCTGTGTAGACCAGGCTGGCATCAGTCTCACATAGATCCACCTGCTTCTGCCTCTTGAGTGTTGGGACTGAAGGTGGGCACCACTACGCCTCTCTCGACCTTGCATTTAACAGCTGAATACTTCATCTTGTGTGCCTTCTGGAACTCATACTAGACTGAGAGTATCTGCCAGTTCTTCTAAGCAGGGCAGGGCTTTGACTGAGGACAGGGTTTGGTGGTGGGACAAGGTTTGGTTTCAGGGTAGGGCTTGGCTGCAGTGAGGCTCCCCCTTCTTGGGCCTTTTAGCCCTAGGGTTACCCTTGAATCGTGCCAGTGACACCAGCCTTCTTGGTGGTTTTCTCACGCATCATCTTACAGTGTGAGAAAGAAGAGACTCTCTGTCTTTTGATTTTCTATCACCTAACAGCTTCCTGTCCTCACTCCTCCTTCCCCATTCCTTAGCTTACATTACAACCGCCTGGTATGCCACGGCAAGGTGTCTTTGTTCCCAAACCCAGATCTAGGAAGAAAAGACACCGTGCCCAGAGCGGCTGGAAACGTGATGGAAGGTAGAGACTGACACCCCTAAATTCATGACTTCTGACTTGGGTGCCACACCACCGTTGTTTGGTGTGCTGCCAGCTCTGTCCCACGCCACACAGATGTTTTTCTGATTTACTCTCTTTCTCCGTGCCTTAACCTTCACATTACCCCACGCAGTGGTTTGAATGAGAGTGGCCTCCATAAGCTCACGTATTTGCATGCTTGGCTCCCATGGGTGAACTGTTTAGGAAGGATTAGGGGGTGTGGCCTTGTTGGGAGGTGTGGTCAACGTTGGAAGAAGTGTGTTACTAGGGCTGGGCTCTGAGGTTTCAAAACTGCACACCAGGCTTCAGCCTACAGATGAGGTTGTAAAATTCTCAGTTCCTGCTCCCGCGCCATGCCCGAATGCTCCTGCCATGAGGATATTTAATAACACATTCTAGAATGATCAATGGGCCATTTGAGGAAATCAAGGAAGAAAGTAAAAGGCTCTTAGAATCAAAAGAATGTGAAAAGACAACTTACCAGCTCTTTGGGGCTACAGCAAAGAAATTCTAAGAGGGAAGTTCATGTCTATCCATGCCTACATTGAAAACATCTGAAAGATCTCAAATAACCTAATGATGGACCTCAAGGCCTTATAGGGAAAAAGAACAGACCAAATCCCAAATTAGTAAATGGAAGGAAATAGTAAAGATCAGGATGGAAATTAGCAAAATGAAGCTGAAAGAACAACACAAAGGATTGGGGAAACAAAGAATTGGTTCTTGGAAAGATAAATAAGAATGACTAACTCTTAGCCAAACTAACCAGAAAAAAAGGAAGACTCAAGAAAATCAAATTAGAGGTGAAGATGAGGACATTACATCAGATGCTAATGAAATTTATAAGACCCTTAGGGAATAGTTTGAAATACATTACAATAAATTAGATAATCTAGAAGAAGTAGAATAATTCCACGTACAACCAGATAAAATGAAATCAAGAGAATATAAATAACTTAGACATATCTATAAAAAGCAATGAGATTGAAAGAGTCATGAAGAAAAGTCCAGAATCAGGTCAATGCTACTGAACTCTGCTAGACCCTTAACAAAAGCTTATACCTCAAATTATCCCATACAAAGGAATTATAACTTATCTTTGGACCCAGCTATTACCTTGGTATCAAAACCAAATTAGGACATAACAAAAATAAAAAATAAAAAAGGAAATGTATAGACCAATTTCCCTGATGGACAAATGAAAAAAATTCCCTAAAAGAAGAATCAAATTAATGTATTAAGAGCATCATATGCCATGACAAAATTGGTTTAACTCCAAAGACTCAAGAATGGTTTAATGTATGCGATCAATAAATGTAATACACCAAATAAGTAGAACCAAGGATAGAAATCACAGGATTGACTCAATAAATGTGGAAAATATCTTTGACATCCCTTCATGACTGAAGCCCTAAAGAAACATGAAAGAGAAGGAACATTATTTTAACATAGTAAAAAACTACATGACAAACCTATAGCCAGCATTGTATTAAATGATAAAAACTAGATATATGCACTTTGTTTTTTCACTCTTTCGAAGCAGAAGTTGAACCTAGGGACTTGCTTGTGTTGTTCAAGTACTCCACCAATGAGCCACAGCCCCAGCTTTCCCTCTTAAATCAGAAGCCAGGTAAATATGTCCACTCTTCAGTATAGTGTTTGAGCTCTTAGCCAGACTGATATGGCGAAAGAAAGAAGGAAAGAAAGAAAGGAAGGAAGGAAGGAAGGAAGAAAGAAAGAAGGAAAGAAAGGGGCCACAAGTTGGGAAGGGGGAAGTCAAACTATCTATATTTGAAATGACATGAGCTTAAAAGCTTAAAAGACTACAGTTCTATCAGGAAGTCCTTAAACAGAATGCCTTTGAATGAAGTAGCAGGATGCAAACCAACATCCAGAAATTGCTAGACTTTTTTTTTCTATACTAATAACCAGCTGCGAAACAAATCTGAAAAACAATACCATTCGTTATGACCTCAAAGAATACTCAGGAGTCAACCTCAGTAAGGAGAGGAAAGGCCTATATAAAGAAAACTTTAGAACATTAAAGAAAGAAGTTGTAATAGACACTAAAAGATCTTCCATGTTCATGGATCAGCAGAGTTAGCATTGTGACAGTATTTCCAGAAGCAATTGTGTGACAAAAATCTCATTTACATACTTTACAGGACCAGAAAACAGACAATCTTGAAATTCATGTGGAAGAACTAAAGACCCCGTAGCCAGAGTAATTCTGAGCAAAATAAACAGTTCTGGGAGAATCACAAAACCAGTTGTTCTTCAGAGCTATAACGACAAAAACATCACACTACTAACACAAAAACAGACATGAACAGAAATTTGTGGCTCAATAAACATTCCTCAAAACCATAACCCCCACTACCTCCTCTCTCAAACCCAGAAAAAAACCCAAACCAAAACCCCTATCAACTACTCTCCCAAACCCAGAAAAACCCCAAACCAAACTACCCAACTACCCAACCAACGAAACCAAACTCCTGACACAGAACAGTGAAATGAAATCTATAAGAGAGGGTGAAGTGAGGGAGATATGATCCAAGTGTTTTGCATGCATCTATAAAAATGTCAAACGGAAGTCCATTACTTTGTACAAACAATATATACTGATAAAAGTTTAAAAAGGAAGATTCAAACTAAAATACAGCCATGAGAAATAAGAAGATATAACTTTGTAAGTGTACTTGTCCACAGGGCTTAGTTTGAGGATTATAAAAATGGGCATATGCCTGCTAATTGGGAAGAATAGGGTGGGTTTTGTGTATTCTAATTTTTTAGAGATTTGTTTATTTTACTTATTTATATATTTATTTGTTGATTTATTTATATATTTATTTGTTGATGTTTTGCCTGCATATATGTTTGTGCACCAAGTGTATTCAGTGCCCGTGGAGGCCAGAAGCAGCTATCAGATTCTCTGGAACTGGAGTTACAGACAGTTGTGAGCCACCATGTGGGTGCTGGAAATTGAACCCTGGTCTTCCGAAGAGTGACCAGGCCTTCTAACTGCTTAGCCATCATCTCCTTAGCCTCTCCCAAAGTGTTTTTAATGAAGATAATAGACTCACTGCTACTCTCATGTTCTTTTGTAAAGGGGAGCACTGGACCTGTCTCTGTCATTTCTTGGTGAGTACATGACTGGGCAGAGCTGTACAAGCTTTGCAGAGGGTAAAATTCAGTGGTATTTCTGCAGGCTTCTTTTCTGAATGGGTAGAAAATACTTAAAGATCTTTGGATATTAAGGCTTTGTTGGGAGGAACTATTCTAGCTCTCCTCAGGAGAGTATGCTCAAAAACTCCAGGAGCCAGATGGCACATATCTTTATACCAACACTTAGGAGGCAGAGACAGAAGGATCATAGTGAGTTCCAGAATAGCCAGGGACAAAGAAAGAATAAACCATGGTCTCCTTGAAACACTTAATACCTACTAGATCACAATCATGGACTTGAATTCAACTATTGGGGAATTTATTACTGCAATTTAAAAAGTGTATGCTTGTATATGAACCATGTGTGTTTAGGAGACAATGAAGGCGAGAAGAAGGCGTCAGATCCCCTGGAACTAGA